AAGGATATAGGTATGGAAGTAGTACTGCACCCAACTTTGAAACACCCCAAAAAAGATTACCCCACACAGGAAAGGGAATGGCAACAGAGCACTCTCCAGTGACCAGCATGGCTGCCAACAAGAAGTATGTCCAGTAATGTTTATATCCTGATATATATTCACAGCAAAAAATCAAGCTAAAAAAAAAACAGGTCAAAAATAACTGAAAACGTACAGAAAATCCTAAGTATACAGTATATTGCCAAAAGTATTGGGATGCTTGCCTTTACACACACTTTGAACTTTAATGGCATCCCAATCTTAGTCCCTGTCAGGAAAGGTCTGCCCATGGTGAGCAGATGTGCAGGCAAGCCGAGCAGATGTGCAGGCACTTGTGCAAAGGCGTGCACACTTGCGCGCGTGCGCACGCCTGTCACTAATACTGGCGTCAAGAGGGCTATTTAAACTGTCTGCTGTGGTTATCTCATTGCTGTATGGTCTTTTCCCCTGCTCATGTTCCTGACTTCTGTGATTGATTCCTGTTGCCAAACCAGCCTGTTCCTGACTTCTGCTTCACTGCCTCCTGCCCTGACCTCTGGCTTGTCCTCGGATTACTCTTCTGCCTGCTCCTGTCTGATTGATCTTCTGTTACTGAACCTGGCCCGTGACCCGACTACTCTTCCTCCTGCCGCTATAAGCCTGATCTGCCTCGCCAATATCGAACCCAGCCCGTCTGACTCTGCATCCTCAGGACACTGTGCTCCAACATCCATCCATCCCGCATGGCTACATCTGCACCCTGCTCTGGCCTGCAACTCCTCAGCCCACCAGCTATTACCGGACTGATCCCAGGCACTTATACCCCACCGTGCACCTGCGACTGCTGTCTCACCATCAGTGGTCCTTGAGCTGGAGTTTTACGGGAGGCCTGCCTCTTCACATCAGGCTCACTATCCAGGTACGTGACAGTCCGTATGGTTCAATATTGAGTTGGCCCACCCTTTGCAGCTATAACAGCTTCAAGTATTCTGGGAAGGCTGTCCACAAGGTTTAGGAGTGTGTCTATGGGAATGTTTGACCATTCTTCCAGAACGCATTTGTGAGGTCAGGCACTGATGTCGGAGAAGAAAGCCTGGCTCACAGTCTCTGCTCTAATTCACCGCAAAGGTGTTCTTTTGGGTTGAAGTCAGGACTCTGTGCAGGCCAGTCAAGTTCCTCCACCCCATACTCGCTCATCTATATTTTTATGGACCTTCTTTTGTGCACTGGTGCGCAGTCATGTTGGAGCAGGAAGGAGCCATCCCCAAACTGTTCCCACAAAGTTGGGAGCATGAAATTGTCCAAAATGTCTTGGTATGATGATGCCTTAAAAGTTTCCTTCACTGGAACTAAGGGGCCAAGCCCAACCCCTCAAAAACAATCCCACACCATAATCCCCCCTCCACCAAACTTTACACTTGGCACAAGGCAGTCAGGCAAGTATCGTTCTCCTGGCAACCACTAAACCCAGACACGTCCATCGGATTGCCAGACAGAGAAGCATGATTCATCAGTCCAGAGAACACATCTCTACTGCTATAGAGTCCAGTGGCGGTGTGCTTTACACCACCCCATCCAATGCTTTGCATTGCACTTGATGATGTAAGGCTTGGATGCAGCTGCTCGGCCATGGAAACCCATTCCATGAAGCTCTCTACACAGTGTTGTTGTGCTAATCTGAAGGCCACATGAAGTTTGGAGGTCTTTAGCTATTGACTCTGCAGATAGTTGGCAACTTCTGCGCACTGTGCACTTCAGCATGCGCTGACCTTGCTCTGTCATTTTACGTGGTCTACCATTTTGTGGCCGAGTTGCTGTTGTTCCCAGTTGCTTCCACTTTGTTACAATAATACTAACAGCTGATTGTGGAATATTTAGTAGCAAGGAAATTTCACAGATGGAGTTATTGCACAGGTGGCAACCTATCACGGTACCAAGCTTGAATTCACTGAGCTCCTGAGAGTGACCCATTCTATCACAAATGTTTGTAGAAGCAGTCTGCATGCCTAGGTGCTTGATTTTATAGACCTGTGGCCATGGAGGTGATTGGAACACCTGAATCCAATGATCTGGAGGGGTGTCCCAATACTTTTGGCAATATATTGTATATTGCTTAGTGAGTGGGCATTGTAGTGATGGTCATTAAAACTCTACCAGATTTAAGTGTATTGGAAAGCAAAAGCCTTTTATCTCAAAGGATACTGGTAACATGGAATCCATTGTAAAACCAACAACTTAATATCACCAATGTCTGATTTTATATGATCTTATGATTTTATATGATGTATATAAAATAAAATATTTGTATTTTTAAACTTACAAAGAGGTTGTGTGTCTAGTTCCTGTGGTTGTGAGTAGCGCCTATAAAGTCTCCTTTTGTTCTGTATTATGTATCCTAAATGTATAACTATATCAGCCCATGGTAAGTGAACACTTATAAACACTCAGATTCCCATGTTGAAGTTACTAATGTGAGTCTCTAGTATTAATTCAGTGGGGTTGGTTTACTAAAGGAGGACAGGCTGTTCACTTTGTACATGTTAGTAAACAAGGAAATCTGTTCAATTTAAATGCCCAATTGTGAACTTGGAAAAATACTGTTTTCCCTTACACAGGATTGTGTTTTCAAAGTGAATAGAGGTTGATTTATTTTTACTAGTATTCTCTTTACTACGTTAACAGGCCTTTGTTCATTTTAGTACATTTTATTCAGATTAGTATACCCACATCAGATAATGGAGGAATGCTTTCTATACAGAATAACACATAACAAAGGCAGATATGTGCATAGTCCATTTTCTCTTGGCTAGAGAAAGTAAAGACAGCCAAAGTCCATCAGAACAAAGCAAATCTGAGAGAGGGGCCATTTTTGGCAAAGTCTATGCTAGAGTCAAAAGCAGACATTTCATCTGTGTTTTTGAAGCCTTATGAATGCCTGTCAGTGCTCTGTGTCAATGACACTCATTGCAGCTGACAGTCTTGTTGACATGGTTGCATTTGCGTCACTTTGTGTTGTGCCATGCCAAAATCTATCCGACATGTAACATTCGGCTGGCTTTACTGCTTCTCAAATTAAATAAGATATATGTATTCCCAAGCGCACATAAACTCTCTCACAGAGGCGCAAACTACGAGTGGATGCCCAATCTTCTCAAGCTCCACAAATGTAGACACAGCCCGTAATGGAAAAAGATTAAAAATAAAACATAAAAGAACATGTAAAAGTCCACAAATTAAAAGTTCATATTCTTCCAGGGACACAAAGGGTTAACACTGTCAATATGCAATATAGAAATGCAGCGCTAAGGGAATGATGAATTGATAAAATCTAAAACCAGTGAATGCATTGTGGAGCGCTATACGGTGGTAGTGGTATCGTCCAAATATGACATGTAATGATACAACATAAAGTGCGACAGTGACAAATAAATAAAGTCCAAATGTAAGATGATCAGATCAATAAAACGGAATTCCGCCCTGACGCTGCTGTGCGGTGACGCGCTGCCTGTCGGGATCCGTGGTGTCGGTGCTGGAGGCGGTTCCGGGCAGTGAACTGGGCTCTGGGAGGCGGGAAGAAGTTTGTATCCGGTAGCTTTAAGTTGCTCCTAGGCCATAACACAGCATCTTCAGCATGCAAGGAAATGAATAAAACAGAGATTTCTTTCTGGCTCATTTTTTAACAAGCCCCCAAGGTGGATTCCTACTAATTATACCACATGCCCATGACTGGTCCTTATTATCGGATATGATGTCCCTGGAACTGGAAAGTGAGGTCTGCTGATCACCTAACGTGCTGATGTGTGCCAGATGATCCTCTAAGATACCCATTCGGATCCAGATGACCACGAGTGGATTTCTATACACAAATGCGCAATTTTATTGCGCTTCTGGTTAGTGCAATATTATGCAAAAACTTCCAGTCACCTGAGTCATGGAATTCACTTTTATTTATCTGATCATCTTACATTTGGACTTTATTTGTCACTGTCGCACTTTATGTTGTATTATTACACGTCATATTTGGACAATACCACTACCACCTTATAGCACTCCACAGCGCAGTCACTGTTTTTATATATATATATATATATATATATATATCAGTTCATCATTCCCTTAGCTCTGCATTTCTATATTGCATATTTATTGAAAGGGTCTAAGGTATCACCTTAATGCTACCGGCTTATTTTACCTAGCGCTTGTTGACTTTTATCCTTTTACCTTATTGGTTAACACTGTCAACCTGTGCATTCGCTCTTCAAATGGCAGTATTGGTATGACCCCCACTGTCAAGCCATATAAAAAAGACAAAAGGAAAAGAGAAAAAGCCAATTCAGTGTAACAATTTATTAACTCACAATGAATACATTGCACTCACAGTATATATGTGATACCAGGACAGCATGTGACTCATATCTGGTAGGTGACAACCTCTCCTCATCTCAGCCACTCCAAGCATACAAGCAGCCTCTTTCCAGAAATCTAGGGAGCCACTCTGGATCACAAGAAAGTCACCAGGAAGGAACAGGGCAATCATGATTAGGTAATGACATCAGAGGGAGCCTGGCAACTCATTTCAGGGCAGAACTACCCTTTATAAAGCTTCTTGATAATGCTTGATAAAAGGGTAGTTTCACCATGTAACGCATTGTCACACCCCCCTCTGACGCCATCATCTTATATTTGCATTTTGTCGTTTTACTGCTTCCCAAATTCCTCTATTCATTTAAATATAATTGCACTGCAAGCACTCCACATAGGTCTCATAAATGCAACCATGGCATTTACAGCTCGTTTAGAAAGTGTTACTAGCCAAGATGGTAGAACAAGAATCCATACAATAGAAACCAACACAGAGGAGGTATCTGAAAAGTGCTATTCTATGCAAGGCAAATGCATCTAACCACTTTCACGCCACCCTATAGCAAAAATACTGCTACAGGGTGGCAGGGCTGTGCAAAATCACGTGTGTGTATATATTTCTGCCATTGGCGTCCTCAGCTGTCAATCACCAGGTGATCCCCTGCCGGCACCCAGCGATTGCCAAGCATCACAGACGGGAGAGAGACCTGTATGTAAACAATACAAATCTCTCCCCTGTCATCTCCTGCACAATGCTTTGTATTGTTCTGCATAGCAGAGTAATACAAAGTAGTGTGCTTACAGTGTAAAGCGCACACACACATAGCACACTGTAAAACAGCACACAGTTAACCCTTTGATCACCCCAGATTTTAACCCCTTCCTGTCCAGTGTCATTAGTACAGTGTCAGTGCTTTTTATTAGCACTGATCACTGCATTAGTGTCACTGGGGATGTCAGTGACAGTTAGTCAGTCCCAGTCCCTTCCCACCACCCCCAGTGTCAGAATGCCTGCCTCAGTCTCGCAGTCCCGCTATAAGTCACTGATTGCCGCCATTACTAGTATAGAAAAAAATATTCCAGTATATATGCCACCATTTGTAGACGCTATAACTTTCACGTAAACCTATTAATTTACACGTATTGGGATTTTTTTTTAGCAAAGACATGTAGCAGAATACATTTTGGCCTAAATTTATGATGACATTTGATTTTTTTTTTTTTTACTGGACATGTTTGATAGCAAAAAGTCACAACTATTGTTTTTTTCTAAAAATTGTCAGGTTTTTTGTTTACAGCGCAAAAAATTAAAAACGCAGAGGCAATCAAATACCACCGAAAGAAAGCTCCATTTGTGGGAAAAAAGGACATAAATCTCATTTGGGTGCAGTGTTGCATGACTGCGCAATTGTCAGTGAAAATAATGTAGTGCCATATAGAGAAAAAATGGACTGGTCAGAAAGGGGAGTAAATCCTCTGGATGGCAAGTGGTTAACATGATAGGCAAGTTATTAGGCATCCATGGTATCTAAAATTTCAATGCACATCTAAACAAGCCTTTACAGTTTTTTCTCTTCCCACAATGTTGAAGAGTACTGCTATAGATATACCAGGGGTCCTGCTCTGTTTCAGCACCCTTGCTGTAGAAATACCAACCTGTGATAGAGTCATATCTTTTGAGGGAAAGGTGGTTAAAAGAGATATTTTAAATTAAAAAAAAAAAAAAAAAAAAAAAAAAAAAAAAAAAAAAAAAAAAAAAAATCGGTACCCCCTATAAAGGCACACTGATAACCAAATAAACAGATTGAGAGTAGGTCATGTGTACTTCCAGTGGGGAAGATTTTCTATTATTCACTCATTCTGGTGCTAAGACCAGTGGTGTATTTAGGTTTCGTACTGCCCTAGGCAACCCAAAAATCGTCTCTACCACCCACCCATGGAGAGACCCTGACACTGGCAAACACCCCCTTCCCAACCATAAGATCCTGGCATTGACCAACAACACCCCCCTCCCCCAGCCCCACCCGAGAGAGCCTTCCACTACCACCACCACCCCCCATACACTGGCAACCCCCCCCCCCCACCCTGGCAAGAGAGAAGACACTCTCCTTCGCAGTTCTGGACAACCCCCGGGAACAAGAGTCAGGCTCTGCATACACCATCAAGCAGCCTACAGCCTCTCTCAGACCCCACCTGGTTACCATGCTGTGCATGTCCTTTTTTCCATCCTTTCTTTTGGGGGGCAGTGATGCCTTGTTTGCCTTGTGGTAAATACACCCCTGGTTAAGACATAAGCTCAGAGAAAAGCAGATGTGTTGATCATAATAGTCAGTAGAACAAAATAGCATGTGGAATGATTGCTATACATAATAGTTTTGAATCAGCCTTGCTTTTGGTATAAGGCCATTGTACATATCTGCAGGTACGGCTTCAGTATTTGTATGGTTTACATTTGTTTATTTTGTCAGCATTGTTATTTAATTTAAACAGCTTCTAGCATGTGTTTGTAATAATTCCAGAGCTCAGAACACAGAGTGAGAGCTGAGCTTCAGGGACAGAATTTTCATCAGTTCTATTAAAAGTGATATGAATCCACTGTATCTCTAATCGAAAGCTCAAAATACAACAAACACATTACGCATTTCAACATTAAATTGTCAGCGAAGTAATTTAAAATGCAAGAAAAAGTAAGACATTTTCAGCTTCAAGCAATTGTCTATATTAATAGATACTTGGTCTACCAGTGTCAATGAATGGAAAGAAAGTATAGTTCTTTTTTCTTTCTTTTTTTTTAGTAATCACAATTCTAGTAACTTTTGCATTGTTTACCTTTTAGAGTAATTTTGATATGACTGCACAGTTTTTTCATGCTTGTTTTTCCATAGTATTTTTATTTAGAAACTTGTAGATTAGTCTCTGGAGACCAGGTGGAGAGCCAGTTACAATAACTCTACAAAACGTACCTGTTAAGCAAAGATATCAGGCCCACAGGAAGAGCTTTGTTTTACACAATGTTATTGAAACATTCTGATGTTTTCATACAGTAAATCGCTGCCAGTCAGAATCAATCCACATTTGGAAGCCAGGTTTCATCTGGCCAGAAAGTGCCTTTTTACACAACATAGCTCTCCAAAACCAATCATATTTCATAAATCCGAATCTTATACATTAATAGTGAGTATCCGCCCAAAAGTATAAGAAAACTACCATGATTTGCAATGCTTCCATATTACAAGGTTCATTATACACATTCAGTGGCACAGCTTTAATCTTCTGGGCACTGATGCAAAGGTTGATCTGGGGCTCGCCCACTACCACCCCCCCGCTCCAAGATACTCCCACCATGTGCCCAGATACTCTAAGTGGTTAAAGAGTTAAGCAGCTCACAGATGGCACAATTTGCTTTCCCTCCACTGCAGGTGGAAGGAAAGAAAATGGCTTGATTACCCCATTAACACAATCAGTTTTGATAGGGGAATCCCTCCTGCAGCAGTATGGTGTTTTGTTGGAGGGGAGCCTTCCCAGCTCACAGAACACAGTGCTCTCTGCTGGTGGCTATTGCCGCTGGCAGTGACTGTAAACAAAAAAAAGCTGACAGGCTGATTGTACTGAAGTTGATCAATGAAATAAAACTTACTGTACGTACTTCTCCCTCCTGCACACATTGTCCCCTGCCTGTACATATTGTGTCCTTGCACACATCACCCCCCTCCCTGTACATATTACCCCCTCTCTGTACACAGTGCCCTCTCCTGTACATATTACCCCCTCCCTGTACATAATGCCCCCTACTGTACATTTTACCCCCTCCCTGTACACAATGCCCCCTCCAGTACATATTACCTCCTCCCTGTACACAATGCAACCTCCAGTACATCTTGCCCCCCCCCTGTACACAATGCCCCTCCTGTACATATTACCCCCTCCTCCCCCCGTCCCCGTACATACATAATACCCCCTCCTGTACATATTACCCCCCTCCTGTACATATTACCCCCCCCTGTACATATTACCCCCTCCTCCATACACAATGCCCTCTCCTGTACATATTACCCCCCTCCCTGTACACAATGCCCTCTCCCTGTACATATTACCCCCACCTTCCCTGTACACAATGCACCATCCAGTACATATTACCCCTGTACACAATGCCCCCTCCTGTACATATTACCCCCTCCCTGTACACAATGCCCCTCCTGTACATATGCCCCCCCTCCCTGTACAGCCACAATGCCCCCTCCCTGTACATATTTATTCCCTGTAACAGACAGTTACCCCCCTCCAGTATATGATTACCCCCTCCCTGTACACAATGCCCCCTCCAGTACATATTACCCCCCTCCCTGTACACAATGCCCCTCCTGTATATATTATTCCCCTCCCTGTACACAGTACCCCTCTTGTACATACCCCCATCCCAGTTACCCCTCCCTGTATATTACCCCCGTCCCTGTACACAATACTCCCCTCCACATATGTTACACAATGCCCCCCTCCCTGTACACAATGACCCCTCCTGTACATATTACCCCCCCCTCCCTGTACACATATTACCCCTCTTGTATATACATACCCCCTCCCTGTACAGTTACCCTCGTGTACATATTACCCCCCTCCCGGTACACAATGCCCCCTCCTGTACATATTACCCCCCCCTGTACACAATGCCCCCTCTAGTACATATTACCCCCTCCCTGTACACAATGCCCCCTCCAGTACATATGTTACCCCCTCCCTGTACACAATGCACCCCCTCCACTACATATTACCCCCCTCCACAAGTGTACACAATGTTGCCCCTCCTGTACATAATATTACCCCCCCGGTACACCCTGTACAAAATGCCCCCTCCTGTATATTACCCCCTCCCTGTTACCCCCCCAATTGGTACATTATTACCCCCTCCCTGTACACAATGTCCCCCCCCCCCCAACTCCCTGTCCAGTACAGTATATTACCCCCTCCCTGTACACAGTACCCCCCTCCAGTATATGTTACCCCCCTCCCTGTACACAACTGACCTCTCCTGTACATATTACCCCCTCCCTCTACACAGTGACCCCTCTTGTATATATTACCCCCTCCCTGTACAGTTACCCCTCGAGTACATATTACCCCCCCTCCCGGTACACAATGCCCCCTCCTGTACATATTACCCCCCCTGTACACAATGCCCCCTCTAGTACATATTACTTCCTCCCTTTACACAATGCCCCCTCCAGTACATATTACCCCCTCCCTGTACACAATGCCCCCTCCTGTACATATTACCCCCCTCCCTGTACACAATGCCACATCCAGTACATATTATCCCCTCCTTGTACACAATGCCCCCCCTTGTACATATTACTCCCCCTCCCCTCCCTGTACACAGTACCCCTTCCAGTATATGTTACCCCCCTCCCTGTACACACTGACCCTTCCAGTGCATATTACCACCTCCTTGTACACAATGCCCCCTCCTGTACATATTCCCCCCTCCCTGTACACAATGCCCCCCCTGTATATATTACCCCCCTCGCTGTACACAATGCCCCCTCCTGTGCATATTACCCCTCCCTGTACACAATGCCCCCTCGTGTACATATTTTCCCCTCCCTGTACACAATGCCTCCTCCTGTACATATTACCCCCCTCACTGTAACAATGCCCCCTCCTGTATATATTACCCCCCTTCCTGTACACAATGTCCCCTCCTGTGCATATTACCCCCTCTCTGTACACAATGCCCCCTCCTGTATATATTACCCCCCTCCCTATACACAATTCCCCTCTTGTGCATATTATCCCCCTCCCTGTACACAATGTCCCCTTCTGTATATATTACCCCCCTCCCTGTACATAGTACCCCCTCCAGTATATGTTACCCCCCTACCTGTATACACTGATCCCTCCTGTACATATTACCCCCTCCCTGTACAGTTACCTCTCCTGTATATATTACCCTCTCCCTTTAAACAGTACCCCCTCCTCTACATAATACCCCTACAAAAAAACCAAAAGAAAAAAAAGAGAGGACGCATCAACCTAGTGCATTATCCAAAGGA